TTTCCATATTATGCACCACGATAACCGCAAGTAATTATGGGTATTCAAATTGGTTTGTTTAGGCTCTCTGATTGGTCGAGACCTGCGTGTAGTTACTGCAGACATTCGTAGAGGCAGTAGTTACCGTGTTGCCCTTTCCCCTATTCAAGATTCCACCCCCTGCTCGGGATTGAGGGATATACAATTGCGTTGCAGGGATTTTTACGTTTTCACTATTTGGCAGCATGATTGGCAGGAGGCATGACTGGATTGTACTTTGGCACGTAGACCAAGTAGGGTCAGATTGGAGATAAAAAAGGAGAGAAGTAGAATTCCGTCTGATTAAGTCTGATACCGGTCTGATACAAGGAATAGAAGCACGTGCTTGTATAGAGTTGCGGCTGGTAGGAGTATGGCATGTATTATGCAAAATAATAATGGTGATTTATTGACAGTTTTTGTCGTTTCCATCTAAATTCAAGTGCAAAGCGAAGTTGTGTTAGAATAACGTTAAATAAGTTTCTCCCATAAGGAGTGTGTATAAAATGAATATAAATTAGTATGACTAAATATAAAGAAGCTATAATGTTTGGTTAATGCTTGGCATTGAAACAAGGTGGTTTTCGTTTGAAGTTACAGGTATGATAATTTTGAATTTCATGAACCTTGAGTAAATGTTTAAGGTCTCGTATCCATTATTTGAATGGAATCCCCGAAGGGAAATCCATTGGGAGATCTCGGCGTAGATAAGGGATAATATTAAAATTGACCATAAAGAATCAGCCATGTGATAACACTGTATGGACATGGTAATGATTTTTGGTTTCAATAAAACGTTTATTACTTCTTGACCAACTAATTCTAATTTAGCAACCATATCCTTCTCGAGAAGAATTCTTCACCTCGTGGTTACTTTAATATATCAAAATGAACAGTGTTATGTGTGGAACAGAATGACTGACTTATGCAAGTAATTTTGCCGCGCAAGGCAATTATTTTTTTTTCATTGTGTAATGTTGTTGTATTATGTCATATTGTTAGAAATAAAGTATGTTCTTTGACTTAAAATAGCTACATTCACGTAATTAGTATATGCATAAGGTGCGACATTCTGTGTTTTGAATTCAGCTTTATTTTATTTGATATCACTCTAAACTTTAGATGTACTGGGAAAGTTTCCATGCAGGACACTTAAAGTTTCTTTTGTGTTGGTTAGTGAAATACATTTGAATAAGACATATTAGGAGCCCTGGATAAAAATTCGGAGAGGTATGCCTTTTTTTTTAATAAAGTAAGACTACTGTGGGTTAACTATATGCATTTATATGACTTGTTAAGAGCATGTATATACACACACACACACACACACACACTGAAGTGCCAGAAGTCATGGGATAGGTACCTAGTATCGTGTAGGGCCCCCTGTAGCCCAGCAAAGTGCAGCAACTCGATGTGGCATCGATTCCACAAGTGGACAGACCTCTGGAGAGATGTTGAGCCATGCCTTCTGGATAGCTGCCTACAGCTCCCTGGTATTTGTAGGCGCAGGATTGTGGGTGCGAATGGACCTCTCCACCACGTCCCATAAATGCTCGATTGGGTTCATGTCAGGTGAATGTGGTGGCCACACCATTTGTCGGAACTCTCCAGAATGCTCCTCGAAGCAGGTCTGGACAACTCCGGCCTGATGACACAGTGCATTGGCCTGCTTGAATATCCCATCATTGTGGGGTACATGAAGTCCATGAAGGGCTGCAAATGGTCACCAAGCAGTGTACCATAGCCATCAACAGTCAATGACGTGTTAGGTGGACAAGTGGATCCAGCTCGTGCCATGTGAACACACCCCACACCAGTATGGAACCACCACCAGCATGCACAGTGGCTTGTTGACAGCTGGGGTCCATGGCCTCATGGGGTCTGCGTCACACCCGAAGCCTACCATCCGCCCAAAACAATTGCTACTGTGACTCATCAGACCACGCCACATGTTGCCAATCCTCCAGGGTCCAATTAGTGATGACACAAGCCCAGGTGAGGGGCTGTCTGGTGTTGTGGTGTTAACAGAGGCACTCTGGTCAGTCTTCTGCTCTCATATCCCATGGAAGCTAAAGAACGCTGTACTGACCTGCTGGATATGCGTCTGGTACCTCCTGCATTGAATGTGGATGTGATTTCAGCCAGTGTTGCTTGTCTGTTACCATGGAATTTCTAGCTAGATGCCGCTGGTCATGATCATTAAGCACCCATGGTCAGCTACTGTGCTGTCCACAGTGGGTGGAAATGCCTTCCACAAGGTATTCCCGGTACACATGTGACACCGTGGATTGAGGAATGTTGAATGACCATTGGAAATGGAATGTCCCATCCTCCTGGCACCCACTATCATGCCCTGTTCAAACTCCGATAATTCACGTCAGCTTGCCATGAGCAGACTGGCCAGTGTTCAACCTGACTCATGAGAGGACACCTCACAACTGATACTGCTCTGGGCATTCCCAAGCTGTCAAGGGACGATGGCGCCACTTAAAAATAAATTTACATACAGCTATCCCATGACTTTTGGCACTTGAGTGTTATTTGTAGGCCATGCATATCCTTATTTTGTGTTGAAGGGTTTCTGTGGCATGTATTGCTGCACAAAGGAAAATGTGCACTGGGTCCTGGGCCTAACTAATCAACTCACTCCAAAAGAATAGAGAGCCCTTCTTGAGAAGCTGCAAGTTAACTCATTCATCTGGTCGAGAAACTGCCACCTTTCTGAAACCAAAGTGTTTATTACTGTGTAACAGGAGTTCACTTTCCAAAACCCAGTGATGAATTTCATAATTGTTTTCACAGTGAATACTTGTTGCCCTCCCATGCTGGGTCTGGTTTAAATATGTAAGCATAAAACAGCCATTGGCCAAAGAGAGATCAATTTTGCGGATGTTGCCCATTGTCCTGATTGTGAAAGAAGTTGGTGTTATGGATAATGTCCAGAAAATTTATCACCATGTTGATACATGATGACCATGAACTTTTTGACATATTTGTGTTCAGTTTTGTATGATAACTGTTTTAAATGCTGGGATGAAGAGGTTCTAATTCAGGAATGAAAATTGTAGGAGGGTCCAGTTCATTTGTACTGTAAAGTGTCTTAACTGAATGAGTTGGCTCAAGCTGTAACACATCTGATTTGTATTCAGGAGATGGTCAGTTTGAATCTCCCCTGATGTTCGACTGTCTTGAGAGGTAGTTTATGGTTTTTCTTGGCCCCTCTGGCCACAACCACTACTTCAAAACCCTTTCCAATGTATTGTCCAATTGTGCCATGATCTGTTAGTGATATTGATCTTAACATCATGATCATAAAGGGCTTCCTTGCATAAGGTTGCTTACATGTGTAACATACTCTCAGAGATGTTTAGATGGACAGTTTAGAGACAAACTGTAGTTGGCTTGGAGTTAATAAATGTATTTATTTTGCAGAAGCAGCAACACTGTGCATCAGTCACTGCCCTAACATGTTTACCGTGTTAGGCATTCCGTTAATTGGGACCCTTTTCCTGCCTACTCTGTTGGGTGTCATAACCTTTTACATTATTTGGTCCCTTTCCACCAGAAGGAAGGATTCAAGCTGCACTGGTGGACTGAGTTCAGCAGCAAGAGAACCAAGCGATCCCATGCTTGCTGTGAATGATCTCACTTCGAAGCCAGAAACGAAAGTGTTTGGTAACAGAGCAGTTTCATCCCCAAATCTTCAGTCTGAAGATAATTCATGTACTGAAAGCGATGTATATAGTGTGACGCAAATAAAGGTGCAATATGCTTCAAATTCAAGGAGAAAAGTGTTCAGGAGTAAAGCAGGAGACCAGTGCTCACAGACTGTACAAGTCGTAAGTGACCTTACAAAGAAGAATACAAGAAAGAAGCGTTGTAAAGGTAAACCTGGATGTTGTTCAAAGAAGAATGGTGCAAGTACCATTTTAGAAGGAACCATTGAAACTGTGAAAGTGTTTTTTGGTACACAGACAGGAAAATCTAAGGTAAAGTGTAACATAGCTTTTGGGAGTAGTTGCATCTCTTTCTCATTTTTGTGTGTGACCCTCTAAAGTATAGTGGTAACTATATGTACCATCAACTTTAACGTTAAGAGACTCTGCATTTTGCCCACAGAGTGAATTTATATTTTTTTGCGTGTTTATCACAACAAACATTAACCAGTTGGACTTTGTTTTCTTGGAGACCCAGTGTTTCCTGTAAGGTTTGAACTGCATATTTACATCTAATGTGTGGACCATATACTGTTATCACCCTTGGACCAGTCAATATTGATGACAAATTAGAGAATTATTAAATAGCAATGTTGCAGCTGTGTTGCCATATTTCTGCAACTGGCTTATGACAATATAGGATGAGCTGTAATGTACTAGACATATATTTCAGTCAGGTGTCTTGTGTCCCAAAGGCACCAGATCAAGATCTCAACCTTAAGGCCTAGCGCACACATGCAGTTTTTAGTTGGCCGATGGCTGTACACGATCGTGGAGGCCCAACGACTGTCGAGGGACGTGCGCACACATAAAATTTTGAGTTATCCAAAACTACGCCAATGAGCAGTTGGTCATTCGCAGCATGGATGTGTACGATACAGCAGTAGTATGTGCATTATTAAGATAAGGAAAGAAGGAAGCGGGAATATTGGGTTCACCCTATTTATAGCGAACGTCTGTTAAAAGGAAAATTTTACACATTGTACCATGAACTGAGACAATACCCATCAAAATTTTTCAATTATTGCAGAATGAGTGTTGATAGTTTTGATGAATTGTTGCTTCTTCTGAAACCTCATACTTTTACAAGAATACAAGATGGAGATTGTAGTTTAATATTTCTAGAATTATTATTGCAAACACAGAAAAAGTAAAAAGGTAAAGTAAAGGTATTCCTGTGACGGGCAGTGGAGGCCCATAGGATTGTGAGATGTTGAGCTTCCCACATTTACCAGACAACCGGCTTATAAATGGCGGAAAGGTCAGCCCTAGATGCTGGCCGCCCTTTACCGCCGAAAACATTCCAAGGGTATTCCTGGTACTCATTTCTGTTAGAGGCTGAGTCGACCACAGTGCCATAGTGAGGCTGGAAGGATTGCGTAAATTGAAAGAAATCCAGTGACCTCATTGGGATTCGATCCTGCTACCTTCCGGCATGTAGCATAGTGCCTCAACCAACTACACTACCGCATGCCCCATTGCAAACACAAAGCATACAAAAATAGTATTTTTTTCTTACATAACATTAAGGGTATGATCACTTTTATGTAAGTTATTAGACTCATTATACTTCAGTAAGAATTGTCAACGAAATGAAAATGGATCATGCTAAAACTACTGTATATGCAGACCATTCCAGTTTTCAATCGAAGCAGTTCACACCTCTTCCCACAACTTTTTCTTATGATTAGTATCAGAATATTCTTTACGTAATTTTAAATAAAGAGCTGGCTGCTTCTCCACTTCTACTGTAAGCTTTTCAGTGCTTTGATCCCACATGTTGCAACTAGCTTGAGCGTGAAGACAGGCAGGAAAATACATAACTTGTTGACTGAGGGTCAAATCATGCACAATTTCAAGTTGCATGTGTGCGCAGTCCCATAACAGCTAATGTACACCGGAGTTATCAACAACAGTTGGGTCGGCGGGCAGTTGAGGGAGAACCCAACTGCTCACCGACTGTTGGAACAACTATCGTGATGTGTGTGCACTCCCATTAAACACAATGTTTCTCGGCGATGTGCCCAATTATCGGCCAACTAAAAGTTGCGTGTGTGCGCTAGGTGTAGCTGAGGTTTTTTGTGGTTTCAGTAAGTCCCTCAAGACAAGTCCAGCTAACACAATACCTGGATTTAGGCCAGGACCACTTAATCTAGTGTCTGCTGCAATTTGTCCCACCGTAGGAGCACCCTTATGTAAGCCATAAATACTAGTAAATAAATTCTGTCTCAGTTTAGTCAGGGTCGTAATATATGGCAAAGGGAAAGTTGTCTCCATGCATTGCTAACAGCACTAGATGACGTCCAGTGGCCACCTTAACGCCCTGGCTGCTTCACCCATTTTGGAATAGTGCCCAGTACCCGGCAGATACGAGGCTGGCTGATCTGAATGCTGTGAGGAAGAGACGACGTCCAGTGGCCACCTTAACGCCCTGGCTGCTTCACCCATTTTGGAATAGTGCCCAGTACCCGGCAGATACGAGGCTGGCTGATCTGAATGCTGTGAGGAAGAGACGACGTCCAGTGGCCACCTTAACGCCCTGGCTGCTTCACCCATTTTGGAATAGTGCCCAGTACCCGGCAGATACGAGGCTGGCTGATCTGAATGCTGTGAGGAAGAGACGAATCTCTTGCCCCTACTGGAAATTGAAATCCAGTTATTCAGCCGTTAGTGAATTATTGTACTAGCTGAGGTATCCGAATCCCCATAAGGTAATGGTAGAAGTAAAAAGTACAGGTGTGGAGGCCCATAGGGTTGTGAGATGTTGAGGTTCCCACGTTTTCTAGACAATCGGCTCACAGATGGCAGCAAGGTTGTCAGCCCTATGTGCCAGCCGCCCTTTAACCCGAAGAATATACCTGGTACTCATTTCTGTTAGAGACTGAGTTGACCCCAGGGACATAGTGCAGCTGGAAGGATTAGGTCAATTGAAAATAATCCAACGACCTCATTGGGACTTGAACCCGCGACCTTCCAGTTTGTATCATAGTGCCTCAACCAAAGGTAATGGTTGCTATACAAAATTTGAAAGTTTGTGTACATGTTCATTAAATGATGGTGTGAGGCACTAAACTTCACTGACAAGCGGTGTTCGCTTAGTCGGTACAGTTTGTGGACTAAAATCATGGAGAGTGAGGTAGAGGTATGTGAGAATGATTGAGGCCTGTTTGGTACGCATTTGTTCTGTCTGATATATTGAGCATGTGTCAAATATAAATGTTCAGCATGCAGATATTTTCTGTCTTCAATAGATGACAGTTTTGTTATTAAGAGTGTTCATTGCCGGAATAAAAAACTTTTTTTAAATCTGTTACATTCAGAGTTCAGTACTTTAATTCAATAAGTGGGGGTGTAGGGTATGGAGAGATTTGTAGAATGTATATGCAATGTTGCAGATATTCAGCACAGTACTGGCAGAAGGCTGCGAGCAGAGGGGACTGAGCTCGGAACTGGTTGATCTGGCGAGTGCTGATCCCGAGGAGAGGCTGCTAGAAGAGGTATGTTACTTGGCATGTGACTTGTATAGATGTAACTCCTTTGTTTCCTACTGCAGACCTAGCAGAAAACACTGAAAGATGTTAAAATGTGATGAATTAAAATATTAATAAAATTCTTAATATTTAAAATCTTAAACTGCTAAGGTTCTGTCTTCATGCCCCTTCTGTCAACAGGTGATTGGGTAGATTGCTGTCCTTGGAGTTCTGGGCAGTGTTTTTTTCCTTCTTTATATGGTTGCTTAAGAGTCTGTGTTTGTTGTTGAGCTGCTTTTCCTTTTGTTGATTGTTGAGGCATCATATATATAAATATACTTTTGAGTCACACTGGACAGTGTAGTCAAATCATTCTGTAGCCCCAATAATGAATTTGGATGAGATTCATGATTTTCTGCAGTATACAAAGTGGTTCAAATATGACCGGGACTGACTTTTTTTTAAAAACCATAATTGCCAAACACTTACTTGCACACGTCAGTCTTCAACGTACTCCCCTCTGGAGTCAACATATTTTTTCCAACGTTCTGGAAGCATCCTGATGCCCTTTTCAAAAAAGGCTTGCTGTTGGCGGGGTATCCACTCCCGAACAGTCTGAACGATGGCATCGTCCACAAACTGCATGCCTTGCAAGTCTGATTTGAGCCTTCCAAACAGGTAGAAATCACTTGGGGCCAAATTGGGACTGTACAGCAGATATCTCAGAAGGTTCCATTTCAGTTTCCAGAGGGTTTCCATTGTTGTTTTGGCCATATGGGGGCGTGCATGGTCTTGAAGGAAGGCTACCCGCTTTCCACCTGTCTTCCACTTGGATCGGATCTTTTCCTTCATGTCTGTTGCCAGGAGGTCTGAGTAATAAGCTGCATTGACTGTTCTGGCATCTGTCAGAAAGTCTACATGGTTAACCCCCTGCCAGTCCCAGAAGAACGTTGCCATCACTTTTCCTGCCGAACAGCTCCTCCGCGTTCTCTTGGGTTTGGGAGAACTGGTATGTTGCCACTTGCATGATGACTGCTGGGACTCGGGAATGAAGTAGTGCACCTACGTTTCATCGGTGGTCACTACAGACTTCAAAAAATGCATCACCTTCGTCTTCAAACTGCTGTAGGAGACGACTGGCAGCTTGTATGCGCGCCATTTTGTTCACGTTTGTCAAAGTGCGTGGTACCCACCGTGCATTGACCTTGCGATAGTGCAGGTGGTATTTCACGATTTCTTTGACACTACCAACACTGAAGGACAGCATTGCTCCAAGTTCCTTGATAGTGATGTGCCTATTTTCACGAATGAGCGCGTCTGCACGATCAATGATTATCTCGGTGACGGATGTTCGCGGCTGACGATCATGCGGTTCATTCTCCACATGCTCTCTGCCCTCTCTGAAGCACCTATGCCACTCAAACACATGGGTCTGTGAGAGAGACACTTCCCCATACTGTTGTTGGAGTCTGTGGTGAATTTCAGCGGACGGGACGTTTTCTCCAACGAGGAATTTGATTACAATGCGTTGTTCTACGCTCGACGGTACCTTCTGTTTGCTCATCACTCTAGCAACTCCGAGACAGGACTGAACAGGTTCTAACCAGAACAGGAGGGAGGGTGGAGGTTGTGGCTTCACTCTCTCAAGGTCGCACAGCTGCTGTACAGTGCGGCTTGTTTACACACAAATGAGTACTGGTCATATTTGAACCACCTTGTATTTTAATGTGCCCTGCTGTCATTATTGTTAGCAAGCTGCTGAATTCTATTCTTCCAGGTAAATAAATGAGGCCTGGATGGAAGCAGGTAGGCAACAAGTATTTAACATTGCATTAGGAATCTCCTAACAACTTTTGAGATTAAGGTCTTCTGAGATGTGAAGTGGGTACAGTTTGAGAGGAAGTTGCCACCTCCATCTTCAAGGTTGAAGTGAATGGTGTTACATGTGGCCTTGTGATATAGGAATGGTGACATAGTTCAGCAAGGGGACAGATTATGGCCAACAAGGGTGGAGACAGACCTATCTGAACCAATAGGCTTAGTGAACAAGAAACTGTAGGAAAATTTTGAGAAAACAGCCCCTTTTTGGCTGCTGTGGACAGGAAGGGTAGGAAGGTAGCTGTTTTTTAAGGGATAGCACAAGAGAGGGTTCGCTGCATTGTCTCTGCAGCCTGCTCAGGCAGATGGCCTTGGTCCTTGGCAGTATTCATGTTTGGGTGGAGCTGGAACTGCTGATATTTAAAAGCTTTTATGAGTTGGGTTTGTTTTCCAGAGAAGAATACTGTGTAGAGAGTAGTCTTTTGGGATATGGCGCTATATAGGTATTGTGTTAACTGACGTTTCGGAGGAACGTATCGCCTCCATCTTCAGGGTAGAAGAAAAAAGAAGAAAATACATAAGCAAAGAACCGGTGTGAGCAGGTGCAGATAGCTCACATCAGTTCTTCCCTTGTGTATTTTCTTCTTTTTTCTTTTACCCTGAAGATGGGGCGATACGTTCCTCCAAAACGCTGATTAACACAATACCTACATGGCGCCACATCCCAGGAGACTGCTCTCTTCATGGTCACCACCATGAAAACCTCAAATCTTACAAGAATATTATGGTTTAAGAAACACAGTTGCTGCAGGTCTGAAGTTAATATTGTGTGCATTTTCAGACATCTGGAAACAGTCTCTGTGTATTCATTTTACCAACATACACAGAAGGAAAACCACCTGAAAGTGCTGCTTGGTTTTACAAATGGCTTCAGGAAGCTTCCAATGACTTCAGAGTTGAAAAGGAATTGCTTAAAGGCATGAAATTTGCTGTATTTGGATTGGGCAACTCGCAGTATAAAGCTCATTTCAATGAGGTAAGCCAGTTCCTTTATTGCTACAGACTGTACATTGTGGCCAAGTATGCAGTAGCCCTGCTTTGTATTCAGGAAGTCTCAACTTCCGAACTTGGCCCCATCAGCCACATTTTTTTATGTCTTTCTGGTTTCCCCAAGAAAGTGCCAGGATAATACTTAAAATTGGGTCACAACCATTTCTTTCCATATCCTTTCTAATTCACTAATTGTCATACCATTCATTGCCATATGGTCTGAGCTACTGATAGTGTCAAAAAATAAGCTAAGATTAAATAAACACAGGATTTCTGGGGTTTTGGACTTTTTCCATCGTCCTACTCAATGTCGTGTACTCTATTACCTAAAATTCTGGATGATGGAAAAAGTCCAAAGCCCGAGTAATTCTGCGTGTCATCCACCATCGTCAGAACCCTTTAGAATCTAATTAAATAGCCATAGGGAAGATAGAGATTGGCCTGAAACTTCTAAACTAGAGTAAAATTATAGTAATTTTTATATATTTGTGGTTTATTTAATGACCCTTCCTGTACCTGAGACTGGATAGTGTCAAATGACAGGATGTTTGTTGAATGGTTTGGAAAGGATGTGGAAGGAGGTGGTCTTGGCCTGATTTAGGTGATATGCTGACATTTGCCTGGGGGAACTGAAGAAAACAATGGAAGACCAGTTGGTTTCACATCTAAGATCTGGACCAGATACCTCCTGAATTCTTGCCAGGAGTGTTACTGTTTGAGCTGGCTTACATGGTTCAAAAGTATAAAATTCTCAAGATTCATGCCCCTGAGGCGTAATTTAACTGTCATGAACTGTAATTAACATTTATTATCAAATACGTAGAGATTATAAATTCTCTGGGGTTGTGAGGTTAGTGGCTAGGTTTTGACCTGAGAGTAACGGCATACATGGCTGCGCCATAGCTCAAGTGGTTAGTCTCTGGCTTCTCACCACGGCAGCCCAGGTTTGGTCCTAGTTCTGGTCAAGTGGGATTTGTGGTGGACAAAGTGGCGCTGGGGTGGCTTTTGTCCGAGTACTTCAGTTTCCCCTGTCATTCTTCATTCCACCAAATTCTCCATCATCATCATCACCTGGGACAGGTACAATAGGCGAGTCATTGGCTGCTGTGCCGAGTGGACCCAATTGGACTCCAATCCCACTAAGCGAATTAACAGCATACATATTGAAAAGGTGCAGTGCTTGACGAGGTGTGCCACACAGGCTTAAAGACATGGGTAGAGTGTACTTGCATTGCAGTTTCCAAGTAACTCCCTGTGCTGAAGGTGCAGATATTTTTGATCCCAGTTACCAGAGAATCTTGACAACCGTGGGACTGGTTTAATTGTTCTGTAGATGACTACATGCTGCCACTGTTCTTGACTGTGTACTCTGTAATGGATGTAGGTTGGGAAACAAGTAGATGGGTGGCTGCAAGAACTGCATGCTGCTCGTTTGATAAAGCTTGGTATAGGTGATGAAGACACAGTTGCCAGCAAACATGGAAGCATTGAAGCTGACTTTCAAAATTGGAATAGCCAGCTGTGGGCACGAGTGGACAAGTTGAGGGCTGCCTGCCAGTGTGATGCAACTGAACAAGATCAGGTATGTTTATTTTAATTTGTATCACCCAACAATACTCTGAGGTTTGTGGCTGAATTTTAACGGGAGGATAGTAGTTCGTTACTGGTGAACAGGATTTTACATCTCATGGTAGTACGTGGCTGGAGACTGAATTTTAAGGGGTGTAACTGTCTGTCACCCAGAAATAGGGGATATTAAATCCTCCCAACACTGCAGAGTTGGTGGCCATATTTTAATTTGCAGATAATTGTATAATTGAGAAATGGGGACTGCACACGTGCCATTGCAACAATGCAACACATGGCCAGCAATCGTTGACATGCTTCTCAAACCTAATTTTTTCAGTTGCTGTAGTATATAACCCACACATTTGTGCCATGATTGTTCCTTAAGTTAAATGTGACTGAATTGGCTATAGAAAACAAGACTATGGATGAAAAACATAATAATTAATTATGGTAAGTAGGGTCGTTCTGGTACAATGTACGAGGTTTGACAATAAATTTTGCTAACTTGCTACCTTGTGTTTGCCATGGCAGCAGTGGACAAGAACCTCAGAATGGTTTGATGATGTTGGCATATCAGCATTTTACAGCTGTTGTTGATGTTTGGCAGTCTCTTTCTGAGTGGCATCTATTATTGTCTGAGTGTGTTTTGGTATGCAGTGAGAATGTCGGAGCTTGAATTGGAGGACTGTCTGTGAAGCAGTTTTTAGCTAGTAAACAAATTACTGTGCTGGAAAACCCTACCTGTTCACCAGATCTAGCCCCAGTAACCTTTTTCTGTACCTGAAGACGGGAAATATTATAAGGAAGGCATTTTGATGACATTGATAACATCATGAGCAATATGATGGCAGCTCTGAAGGCCATTCCACAAAGCCAGTTCCAAAATTGTTTTGAAGGGTGGACTAGATTCTGGCATTGGTGCATAGCTTCCTGAGGGGAGTACTTTCTACTGCGATGAGTTCGTGAACTTTATTGTCAGATTATGTATGCATTTTTCAGGCAGAATCGTCGTGTGATTCGAGTAGCGAAGGTTGCTATTCTGATGGCGATAGTTCAGAACAAGATTCACGTGGAAATGGAGTCTTGGATTTGGAGGAACTGGGCAGTTTCTCAAATTCTTTGCTGGCAGCTCGAGAGAGAAAATTTGAAGATAATTCACCGAGAGAAATGGTGACTGCACTGCTGAAAGAGAGTCTGACCAAGCAAGGGTACCGAATTGTTGGTACACATTCTGGTGTCAAGCTCTGCCGTTGGACCAAGGTATTGTCAACATCTTCTACTGTTGATTACATTGTTGTGTAGACAGAAACATAACCCAGCAGAGAGAGGGGTGGGGTGTTGTTTCGGCTGCAAGAGCAGTGCATGATGAGTCAGCCGAGGCATTGGGTGTAATGAATAGACCTAAATCTGTGTTAGGCAGGTAGTTCCTAAAATACAGGGTTTGGCTGAATGTATTAGACATTTTATGAATGAAATAACAGTACTTGAAAAGAGTTGATGTTACAGTCATTGGTTGATTTATTCTTTCTGTCTCTTTCTGTATTTCAGCATCCCGTTGCAATTGTTCAAATTAGTGTCCATTGTTTATCTTCATCAAAATTGCAACACTTTCACATTCTACACTTCAACACTACATGTTTCGGCCTCAAATGGCCATCTTCAGGTGTTTTTATGTTAAGATATTTTACTAAAACTGTGTTAAAAGCTGCTACACTGTTTTAATTTGTGTTACAGTCACATGCTATAGTCTTCTTACGTAAAACGATATAAAATCCTTTAAAATTTTTGTTGCATATTATTTCACCTCACCTGGGGTGTCGTCATTTCCATAAATGTAACAAGGTGTTTTTCTCAGCAGCTTGCACCTCACGTTCGTGGTCTACTTTCAGTTTTTGACTGCCATATGCCCCCGGTTTGTGTGTGCTTCCTCCACAGTGTGTGATGTTGTCTTTACTTGCTGTTGTAGACCCCCCATTATTTTTAGAGCATGTTTTCTGTGGCTTCTCATGCACTGCAGATACTGTTGTTCCAAACTTCTGATTCCAGTTTAAAATGATTTTACCCACTGTAAGGTTGTCATTCCTGCTGCTGTTGAAGTGGTGCCTCAATATGGATTGTATGATTATGGCAGAATGTATGATTCTTATGTTTTCATGACTTTTCCCAAGTCATATGTAGAATTTATTGCAAAAGAATATGCCCATTCTTGTCAGTACCTTACAGTGCATCACAAGAAAATCATGTTTATATTTGTATGGTTAGAAATTTACAGACACAGTTTGCTTAGTGAATTGCCCCCAGGTTGCTCGTTATAGTGAATGATGCAATTGTTAAATTGCCTTTGTTTTGCCTGTGTTCATAAAAAATGTGAGTTATTGCCGAATTGAAGATTTCAATCTCGTGGGAACTTTTTGTTTGCTGTCTGAATATGGAGGTGGTGGCCTCCAAGATGTTTGCTTCTGATGGACTACGCAGTGTTATACTGTGAGAACCTCAACTGTTGCTGAAGTGTCTGTAAGTATGCACTTGCCCCGAGGGCATGCTGCTTACAGAACTTGTTTGCACCTTTATGAACTGCTGTGATACTACAGTCTGGTTCATGATTGCAGTCCATGCTCCGAGGCCGTGGAGGCTGCTACAAACACAGTTTCTATGGTATAGAAAGTCATCGCTGCATGGAAACGACACCAAGCCTGGCATGTGCTAATAAGTGTGTGTTTTGTTGGCGGCATCATACAAATCCTGTGGGCACAGAATGGCGCTGGAAGATGGATCCCCCTGAGCAGATAATGACGGAAGCTCTAGAGAACCATTATAATATGATCAGACAGTTCAGAGGTGAGCTATCACATATTGTATTGATGTAGCTGTCACCACTGTGTGGGTGCACAGTCTTTGAGAAACCAGTAATTGTGCAGCTGGTCAGGAGAGTGCAGCAGTTTGTGGAATTTGAAGATTCATTACCATGTTCACAAGAGACCACCATTGGCCCTGTTTGGGAACCAGGGGAATCCAGTTAGCACCCTCTCATCCCATTTCAGACCCATTTTGATATTATCCTGCAACCTATACCTAAGATGTTGAGAAGATAAATGAAATTACTTTGTCATTATAATATGCTTGTGATATATTTTATTGAAGTACACTGTAAGGAGTTTTGCGGTTTTAGTGAATTTGTCAGTATTAAAAGTTGGTTGATTTTGTCTCATGGATTCTTTTTGTCTGCACATCCTCCAAATTTTATGTGAGTCGATGAATGAAAAGTTTCCAGTCTCTTCTGCTTTTACACAACCCTCTATTTTTGATTTATTATCAGTGCTGTTTTCCAGTACCTTGCTGAACCATCTTGTTCTGGGTCATCCCATAGGTCTCTTTCCTTTAAATTGTTTCGTGTTGGAACTTAATTTCAGGTGTACCTGGAGTTCTGCCAGAGCGATTTGCAGAAGGGATGGACGTAAAACACTGTGCATTATCATTGGTTGGTGAACCAATTATGTACCCAGAGATCGGTAGTTTTGTACGGCTCCTCCATGAACGTGGAATTTCAACATTTCTGGTCACAAATGCTCAGTTCCCAGAAGCCCTGAGGTATTCATGCAATTGATATGATTTAACCTAGAAAAGTGTACAGTATCACATAAATTGTCGGATGTTGGTACAGTAAGGTTTTATTTAATATTCTTCAGTGTAAGGTTTTCCTCAATTCAGTTTTTAAATTCACCGCTTGTAGAGAAACCTTAAATGCAGGTTTCGCTATAGAAGGATTGAAATAATATCACTAAAGTAAACACATTGGCCTTGCATGCTCACCATGTGCGGAACACATTACTGTATTTATCTGAATTATATTTTTAGGTAATCTTAAATTTGAGTTTGAAATATGTCAGTATTTTTAGACAATTTAAGCTTTTAAATGGATTATTGGTCTTATGATGAATTCTATGACATTTGCATCAGATCTTGAGAGAGATGTCTGCCGAGGTCAAGGTCATGAACCATGTACTGTGATGAATTAGCCTGAAGTACCACCGAATCTGAACTGAAAGTTGTGATTTGAGGGGAGCAGTTATTGCAATGAGGGTGATATTTGCGATTGCGAAGACACTAATAGAACTGCTTTTATGTGCAGACATTTTCCTTAGCACAGGAGTCATGTCCCATTCAAGTATATAAAGTTACCCACTTTTCATCACCACTGCATGTGTCATGTTAGGAAATTGAAATACAATTTTGTTTGCAGAGATTTGAGTCCAGTAACACAGCTGTATGTGAGTGTGGATGCCAGTACCAAATCCAGTCTCCGTAAGATTGACCGTCCTTTATTTAAAGACTTCTGGGAGAGATTTATAGACAGTCTGAAAGCCCTTTCTGAAAAGGGTCAGCGGACAGTTTATAGACTCACACTAGTGAAGTCGTGGAATGCAGATGAAATCGCAGATTATGCCAAATTAGTTGCCATTGGCAAACCAGATTTCATTGAAGTAAAGGTTAGTGTATGAGTGAGTTCAGCTGTTTGTTGTTACACAGTTCTGCCCTTGAGCTGTTAGAACAGTTATGGTTTATAAACTAATAATAGTCTCACTTGTGGTCATCTGAAGACTAGATTCAAAATCGCGAGCAGCCTAGCATCTTAGTTGTTCCTGTTTTGATGTGTAATATGACCATCTACTGAGAAGGTCATTGCAGTGATGCTATAACCTTTTTTTTTTTTTGGGAGGTGTTTAGTTTGAATATCAGTCATGTTGTCAGCTATCCTTACAAAGGTTCTGTTGTGGTTTTCCTCATGTCTCTGGGCGAATGCTAGGACTGTACCTTGCTTAGAGCCCATGCCCACTTGCAAATCCTTTTCAGTTCATCGGCCACTGTGCCATATACCACTCTATAGGTAAAGGTACTGAAAGCATTGTAAAATGTTCCACTGTAAAAATATATATAAGAAGGAAACTTCATACAAAATTTTATCCAATATTCTTCTCTCAAGGTTAATTCCATACACAGATGAAATTATTGGGGATCATCAGTGTGGGTTTCGATGTAACAGATCAACTACAGATCAGATCTTTTGCATTCGTCAGATATTGGAGAAAAAATGGGAGTATGATGAGACAGTACATCAGCTATTCATAGACTTCAAGAAAGCCTATGATTCAGTTAGGAGGAAAGTATTGTACAACATTCTGATAGAGTTAGGAGAAGTTTTTGAAGAACTTTGCAGGAAACTTCAACATGAAATTAGAAAAGTCAGTTGCTGGAATTTTGTATCAGAGTGATGAACGTTACCTTTAATACATTATGTTTTTCAGGGTGTCACTTATTGTGGGACTTCCAAAGCTAGTAACTTAACAATGGAGAATGTACCTTGGCATGGAGAAGTTTTATCATTTGTGAAGAAACTGGGAGGTCTGTTACCAGATTATGATATTGCTTCAGAACACGAACATTCCAATTGTGTTCTGTTAGCTCATCAGAAGGTAAATTCACTGTTCTGACCCTTGTTTTTATTTTGAAAGCTAGATGACATTAAATTAGCATTTAAAAAAATGTGTGGTTTAATTGTATTGAAAACAGTTTTTCTATGTGTTCTCTTGACTGTAGTGTCAGTGTAGAAACCACTGAAATATCATTCAAGAGTGATGTAAGATCTTTAACAAGAATCTTCTCTGGTTTGCCTGCCCACCTGTAACTACTCAAGAACCACTGAATGAATTTGCACAGAAGTTTATGCTGTGGAGTTACTAAACTTTGGCGCTACTTATAATTTTAGTTACAGTCAGGCAGGGATAGCAGACCTCTATGTTTTTCTGAGTACCTTGGAGTATAACTTGAATATATCTTGGTAAATATTTATTGGAGTGAAAAACGTTTTGAGCAGAAGAAGCTATGTAGAAGATTAAAACACAGTGAAGGATGCTGTCTTCTGGAATATGGCAGTGGATCCTGGTAAAAGTTAATGACATTTCAGAAGAATGGACTTGCCTCCATCATTAGGGTTAAACAAGCAAGCGACCAGTGAGATGCAGGCAGCAAGCCTGAAGATGGATGCAGTATATACCTCCAGAAGTTAGTAAATTTCTACCAGACTGCATGGCGTCGCATCTCAGAAGATAGTAGGGCTCATAATCACTGTCACGAGGCTGTTCAATCCAACTTAAATCACATATTTTGTGTATTTTCAGACAGAGCTTTTTTTTTGGCAGTGGTCTTCCCGAAAGTAAAGAGTGTTTGATGATTAAAAAGAAAATAACTTAATAAAATTAAGAAACTTTATATACATCATTGCTACAGACCTTAAATCATTTTTCTACATAATCCCTGTGAAGATTTGGTGACCTGGCACTAGAAATCTGCTGCCAGTCCATTGAACCATTCTTTAACCGTCTCTTCACTCCTTAATTTCTGCCCAAAAACTGCTTCAGGTGTGTGAACAAGTGAAAAGCACTAGGATGCAGATCTGAACTGTAGGGAGAATAGGAAAACACGTCCCAGGCAAGTGCTATGTGCGAATGGTTTTTGCTTTCTGGATGATGTACATATATTTAAAATTAAATTATAACAAATGTCCCAGAATTCTTAACTTTATGCGTTCAATTACTTAACATGTTAATTCTTAAGGATTCAGGTTCTCAGTTCAGCAAGTTGGTAAGTATTGTGGTGCATTCTGTTCCTTGTTCTGGTAGGAATTTCTAGTCTGCATGAGATGGAGGCACTGAGTAGCGTAGTTGGTTGAGGCACTATGCTACAAGCTGGAAGGTTGCGGGTTCAAGTCCCGATGAGGTCATTGGATTTTTTTCAGTTGACTTAATCCTTCCAGCTGCACTATGGCCCTGGGGTTGACTCAGCCTCTAACAGAAATGAGTACCAGGAATTAATTAAATAATTTTCCTGGGGAGTAAAGCACGGCCGGTGTGTAAGGCTGACAACCTTACCACCATCTTTGAGCTGATTGTCTAGATAATTTGGGACCCTCATCGTCTATACCACCATCTTTGAGCTGATTCTCTAGATAATTTGGGACCCTCATCGTCTATGGGCCTTCATGCCCTGTTAACTGGGGTAGCTTTACTTTATGACACAAAGATTCGTTGGTGTTATGGCTGCATTTATTTGTGTGCAGACCTTGGTCATATGAGAGAGAGGGTTCTGCATTACTTGAGAATTGCAAATAACTGTTATGAAGAGTTCTTTGAGAAGCTGATAGTTAATTAGCAAGTGAAGAACTTCCCTACCATGTATCAAATGTGAAGATCTATTACTCTGTTCTCACAAGCTGTCAGCTTGTCCCAGTCCTGAGCCAGGTGAATCCACTCCACACCATTCTTCAAGGTGTCTGGGTCTCCATTCTGACATTTTAACTGAACTGTTGCACTTGTTATGTGTGTCTCCCATTTGTGCTATGTGTCTGACCTATCATAATGTATTTGTAATTACAATGTCGAGGTTATATTTGTAAATTGAATTTTATTCCAGGATAATGTACATGACTGAAAATCTACAGTAGGAAAGTTGGCTGTGATGAGTGGTTTTGCATTTGTTTCAGTTCAAAGTTAACGGAGAATGGTGGACCTGGATTAACTATGATAAATTCCATGAACTAATGAGGCAGTACTATTTGACTGATGGAGCATCCACTTTTACAGCAGAGGTAAGCAGAATTCTCTCGGTTCATGTAACAGTTGTTTGTTATATGCCTAGTTCCTCCAGGTTTGGTCCACATAGGTGTGGTGTGCAGAACCCCACCCATGTGGTTGGTGCTGTTACCCCAGTGACAAGGTGGTCATTGAGGGTACAGCTTAACTTAGGCTCTGAACCATAGGAGGCTGGTATGTTTCACATTTCCACAGTTTTTCATTATAGAGGTAAAGGTTTCAGTCTGTGAGCACAGAAACTTGACACACACACACACACACACACACACACACACTGACTGGAGATCACATGTGGAACCCTCTGAATAAGAATTCGGTGTTTTATCCCGCAACCAGCAGATCCTCTACATATTGATCTGTAGAATGCATAGGCACAAGGAATCGATGAAGCATTACATCGTAATGAATTATGTGAGAAATATGACCTTTCAAACAAGTTCTGATTTGGATGTTGGAGCGATGTGTTAACAACTGGTGAAGATAGTAATGTATATGCAAGGCATGCTGGAATATTTTTTTACTAGAAAAGGAGTTAGGTGTGAAGTGTGTTCTTTCCCAGCCTGACATTAATATCGCAGATAGTCTGTGTTCTATTCCTATAACTTCAGCACCTGAAGTGTTACAAGGTGCTAATGCCTCCTAACTTTTTAGTGGTCACATGGAGGAGTAGAACCGCACTGCAAGTATTTGAACTCTTTTTTGTTTGTTCTTGCAGGATTATATGTGTAAGACTCCTTCATGGGCTGTGTTTGGGGCCTTAGAGAGAGGATTTGATCCAGCAGAGAAACGTTGGCATCGCAAGACATTGCCAAAAAAGGATATATCTGGCTGCTGATCTGTATTGAGTGTAGTGATAACAAAATGCCATGTATAAACCATAATTTAAAATACAGACTGCTTTTATTATTAATTTAATTAAAATTTCTAATTTATGATCTTACACAGTATCATCATTATTCTGTTATTTAACCTTAAAATGCTGCCGTCGGGTAGTGACATTAATTAATCTCAGATGAATTAGAAGTGAGGAATTTGTTGATTGCTTAAGTATGTGAGTGGTAGTTTGGCCTTGTACAAACCACCTAGAGCTTACAGACTTGATTTTCAGCAAAAACTTCTTGTGCATAAGATATGGATAAATTCTATGAGTTAACAATCATCACTCAGTTTTTATGATGTATACCTCAAGTGCATCACATTTGTTCATTTTGTATTTATATGTGTAATTTCAGGATTCCTATGTAAAGAGACTGCAGATCTATTCAAAGAAAGAGTACCAGGTGACATTTTGGTCATGGGAAGAATGAACATTACTAGTGGGAGTTCACCCAACCTACACTGCATACTTGCTTGTTGCTAGCATGAATAAAAAATTGAGAACCTGTAGGTGTAACAAAGTTCATTGATGACTGGTGGGAGTGGGGACATGTAGAAGGTTGGGATGGTAGTCTGTTTTCGCTGTTTCCCGGAGCCGATGGTAGTGTTTTATTCTTTGCTGAGGAATTCAGTTTTTCTTGCAGACTGGTGGCAGAAGTGATTTTCCATGATTTAATATTTTTGCTTCCAGCTTGAAATTTATTGAATGTGTCAAGACTTTTCAGTCTTTCTTCTCCCTTCATTAGAATTTTGCTGTAGTTTTAGGTGAAGAAATACAGTTGAGGTCAGGTTCTTGAAGAAATTTGCTGTTGCAGAACTGTTTTGTGATGTTACTTTGACATACCAAAGAAACTGATTAGTGGTTTTGTTCTGAAGCTTCTGGTTTAATTTCCAGTAGAGTTAGCATTGATGTGGTTCGGAGAATTCAGTATCAGTGCCTGTAGGCATTACTATTATCCAAGTACTGGCATGGTTATATATATATATATATGAGATTTGAGATTATCTGTGTAGTGAAACTTTACATTGTGTTCTGGGTTATGACATGACCTAGTTTGATATGTGGTTACCTTATGTTCGTGACGAACATGTTGCTGTCATCTTCAGGGTAGAAATAAGTAAAGCTGGGATGCTTATATGTTATATAAGGAGGCTTGGGAATTGGGGAGTGGTTTCATGGACCAGAGCCAGGGATATGAAAGAGGACCTTGAGCACTGTCTGGGTGAGTGCTAACCGGGAGCAGTTTGCCTAGTCCTTCTGCTATCTGCACCCCAGTTTCTTCATTTTATATACGAGTATTGTGGCATGTTTACTGAAATCAGAATTGTGAAGCCAGCACAGACAGATGTTGCTAGGGTACGGATCCTTAAACACGCCTGTTACTAGGGTATGGCTCAGTGGCTATCACATGTTAGCCCAAATAAACAACAATAGAATAGGTGTTGCTATTAGAAGCTGGTAGCTGAGGCTCGGGACACCTCCAGTATGCAGAGGAAGGGGATCGTTCATCATTGGAAACCACTACCAAGCAACGGCAGTGAAGATATGACTGTAGACAGTAGTGCATATGTAACATGAACTGTAAAGTGTAGTCATGCACTGTGTCAGTGTTTGCAAGAAATTGAATCATCAATCTTAAACCCATCTATTGTCACTTATCATGTGACAGCTGGTGTCAGAAGTAGGATAACTGGATTAGAAAAGCTCAGATGAACTGAATAATTTGGCTGAACACATTGGATCTTTATATTGCCATGCTGTGAACACAGAACAAATGCTGGAAAGCCTGCTGGCTGAAATAAGAACCAAACCAAGACAGATGCAAATCTAAAGGAAATGAAAGGTGGCCAAGAAGAGTTTAAAGCCAAGCTGCACTCAAATCAGAAGAAATTAAGGCCAGCAAAGAAGAGTTCATCCTAGAAATGAAGGTGTGCTGTAAAGAGATAAAGGCCTGCCAGAAACCAGGGAGAACTGAAATTAAGACTGGTCTGGAAAAAGTGAAGGCCAGGAGTTTGGAGGTGAATCCAGAAGAAATAGCGGGTTTAGTGGACCGTTAGGAATTTCCTAGTGAAGAGGCTGCAGTGGTGACAGTCAGAGCTCTGAAGGACCAGTCTGAGGACTGCCCGTAAGGTACCATGGATTATTGACCTGCTGTGCTGCTCTGCACTGCACAAGGAATATTGCTGTAGAGAACCTTGCAGTGGGATCAGAGGACAAAGCAAGAGACGGTAGCTGCACCTGGAAAGCAAAGGGATATTCTGTGAGGCTCTCACACAAAAGCATTGAACTGGAGGTTGTGAAGCAAACAGTTGGGTTTTCCATTGGGCTGTGGAAAGTAAGTGGCTGGAGATTGTGGAGGAGCACTGGCCACTACCAGATCCTCTATCCCTAAAATGGGAGGAACAACCCACCATCGATCATGTGGCAAATTTAGCGGACCATAAACATGACATCCACAGTTATTCCTGTCAGTACCTGCAAGTGGCCAATGATCAGGTGAAAACTCAGTACGACTGCTTGACCAACTCTGTGAACTACCAGAAGGGCGATAGTGTGGCTGTATCGCCCAACCCACATGAAGGGGAGGTCACCCAAGCTCCAGTCCTCATGGTGGGGCCCCACACGAGGTAATCATCTGAACCAATGATGTGGCATATAGGATTCAGTGGAGCCCTAGAAAAAAAGATGATGGTGGTACACCTGGACCAGCTCACACCTTATCAGAGAACCTCTTGAGATGAGCAGCCTTAAGAAGGGGGCAGTTGGGGAGTAATATTTTATCCACATCCTGCTTTGCTATTTTACCCTGAAGATGGAGGCAGCATGTTAACTTCAAAATGTCCCTAGCTGTACATGAGTGAATGACGTCATAACACAGAGGACTGAAATCTACATGAAGATTGTAGAGTGTAGCATGATAAGTGAGCTTTACTGTCTGCTTGCATGTCTGTTTGTCTTTCAGTTAAGATGATAATCTTCCATTTATTTGTTTTTTTAACCAGTGCAGCATGTTGCAGTGTATTAACCCTTTGACGTGGTCATTTAAATTCTGCGGCCGCGGCTCCTGCGGTAATATATTCAGCCGGCCATTTAAATTTTGCTCAAAAATTATTTATTCATCATTGTTCTTAAATTCTATGAGATAGGAACATGAAACTTTCACTAAAATGATCTTAAAAGGTGGTTTTATAACCTTACCTTATAATATGAACCCCCTTTATATCTTCAATGGAAGCAGGTTGTTTAGTATTTGAGCAGTGAATGGTACGCTTTGAAGGATGAAACTTTCACTAAAATGATCTTAAAAGATGGTTTTATAACCTTGCCTTATAATATGAGCACCCGGTATCTCGGCTATGTAAGCAGGTGACGCCTTGAAGCATTAGTCTAAACACAGCGCTGGCTCAAATCACCAAACCAATACTGCGTATCTTTACTTTTGCTTTCTTTTTTCTAACCACACTTCTGTGCGGCCCTGCCTTCTTCCCCGTGGGGGGAATACAAGTGGAAATGTCCCTCCGTGAGTCGTATATTTTGACAGATTAGCTGCAGTAAATTCAACCTTTGTGTTATCATAAGAAGGGTTTGGTGCTTCTGCGTTTCAGATTCCAACCTTTTCGGCTCCCCAGATGTCGTAGGGGTGACCACAGAATTCATGAATTTATTATAAGAACTGGCT